AATTTGTCCTGCTGCTGGTGCTGTGCTGCTATGCATCGCGTGTTGATTCTGCTGCTGCATCTTTTGCTGCTGCTGCTGCTGCTGCTGCTGCTTTTGCTGCTGCTGCTGCTGCTGCTGCTGCTTTTGCTGCTGCTGCTGCTGCTGCTGGTGCTGCAGGCCATACGGCGAGCATAGTGGGCCACTCTCGACCGAAGGCGGGGGTTTATGCAGGTACGCCATTTTGCTGTTACCTTTGCTGCTGCTGTTGCTGCTGCTGCTGCAGCTCTTGCTGCTATTGCTGCTACTGCTGCTGCTCTTGCTGCTGCTGCTTATGCTGCTGCTCTTGCTGCTGCTGCTGGTGGTGTTTTCTTGGTTTTGTTTATTTTGTACAGCCGGTGGCTCCCCTCCATCGAATGCCGTTGTTTTCTGTCTTTATAATTATTATTTATTTTTCTTACTACTACTCTGCTGCTGCTGCTGCTGCTGCTGCTGCTGCTGTTGCTGCTGCTGCTGCTGCTGTTGCTGGTGTGTGTGTGTGTATAGTTCGTGCTGCTCCCGTGATAGAAACAAACATATGGCGTTTGCTGCGGGGGGAGCAGCTGGAGGCGTGGCGGCCGCAGACTACCTTTTTGTCTCTGCTGACGACGGGGCGGGGCGAAGCAGTTCTTTGTAAAGGGGCCTTTGTCTTTCAGGGCAACTGGGTGTGGAAACTCAAGGTAAGAAATGCTGCTGCTGCTGCTGCTGCTGCTGCTGCTGCTGCTGCTGCTGCAGCAGGAGAAGGAGAGGGAGAAGGAGATGCTGAGAGGGGGAAGGGGAGGATTGGTGGTTGGTGATGGTGATGGTGTTTGTGTGGCTCGTGCTGCTGGCGTTGTTCGTGCTGCTGCTGCTGCTGCTGTTCTTCTTGTTCTGCTGCTGCTGCTGCTGCTGCTGCTGCTGGATTTGCTGTTGGTGGGGTGATTTGCTCGTTTGTAATTGATGGGTTTAGGGGAGCAGCAGCAGGCTGAGGGTTGTTGCTGCAGCAGCAGCAGCAGCAGAGTGTTTTGGTGCAGCAGCAGCTGTGTGTGTTGCTGCTGCAGAAGGCGATAGATTCTGCGTGGCTGTGCGGTCACCGGGACTTCAACGGTTCTTGCAGCAGCAACAGCAGCAGCAGCAGCAGCAGCAGCTGCAGCAGCGGGCCCCCTCGCTCTATGTCTTCTTTCCTAGGCCTCAAGGAGCTTGGTGCTGCTGCTGCTTCGGGGGCTGAGGCCCTCAGCACCTGGCTGTCTGCTGCTATAGCTTCGTCAGAGCCAACTATACGCGAACCCGCTACAGAGGTAACACCAGCTTGCTGCTGCTGTTGCTGCTGCTGCTGCTGCTGCTGCAGGTGCTGCTGCTGTTGCTGCTGCTGCTGCTGCTGCAGGTGCTGCTGCGCTTGCTGCTGCAGGTGCTGCTGCAGTTGCTGCTGCGGTTGCTGCTGCAGTTGCTGCTGCACTTGCTGCTGCAGTTGCTGCTGCAGTTGCTGCAGTTGCTGCTGCTGCGTGGGTATGTTACTATCTTTTCCAGTTCTTCCCTCCTTCGATTCAAACCAGCGTGTTGTTGTTTGCTGCTGCTGCTGTTGCTGCTGCTGCTGCTGCTGCTGCTGCAGGACCTGCCCCACCCGTGCATGTCTGTGTTCGCTGGGATGCTGTCTAAGGCTGCTGCTGCTGCACCCCGCAGCAGCTGCTGCTCTGGCTGCTCGACGAAGATACCGCAGCGCGTGGTCTCTGCTGCGCTGCAGCAGCTGCGGCAGCACAACTGGCGTCTGCAGCAGCTGCATGACCGAGAGACACAGCAGCAGCAGCAGCAGCAGGTGCTGCAGCAAGCTGCTGCTGACGAGCAGCAAGACTGGGAACAAGACAAACCCCTCTTTAAGCGCCCTGAGGTTATATGCGGCCTCAAAACCCCCGACGATTGCTGTCTCTTTTCTCCTGTCCCCCTGAAGCAAAACACAGATGCAGCAGCAGCAGCAGCAGCAGCAACAGCAGCAAATATGCTGCTGCAGCCAATGCCCCTCTTGGCTCAAAGCGTAGACTTCTATCGGTCAGAAACACACAACATCCTCCTGCTGCTGTTGCTGCTGCTGCTGCTGCTGCTGTTGCTGCTGGTGGTGATAAAGGTGGTAACGGTAGTTGTGGTGGTGGTGGGGTGATGCTGCTGCTGCTGCTGCTGCTGCTGCTCTTTTGTGATGTTGCTGCATTTGTCTTTCCCCCAGGCTCGCGCCATTCTCTTTGTCTGTCTCCCTCTCTATGTCCTCTTTTTTTCATACTATATATATATATATATATGCATATATGTATATATATATATATATATATATATATATATATATATATATATATATATATATATA